AAAATTAAAAACATTGCATGTATTTTTCCCCGAGCTATCCCATTTTACCCCGCATAAGAAGAAAATAGGACTAGGTGACAATTTTTTAAAAAAACAGTTAAAAAGAAACATAGTACTATTATGATTAGCTATCTGATTGTGAAAATTTTACTGAACACAGTTAAATACTTGTCTATTTGATTTATGTTGTTTGATCTGATGTAGTTGGTTTGGTTTTCACATTATAATTGCCTAAAGTCAAATTGGACCTTTGTGCCCCGACCTGCCCTATATTATTATTGATTTCACGACCCACCCTATATTATTATTATTATTATTAATATAATTATTTTACCGACATAATGAAAATAATAAAGATTATAGGATTTTATTGCACTATATTTTAATTTATATAAGCTTTATTAGTTTACTGGTTGTTCTCGTCTGGTGAATACATCAATGCTGATTTGAATGCAGCCAGGAACTCGTTATTTGAATCGCAAATGCAGGAAACGTTAGACAATGGAACAGATTTATATTATTCGGCATCTGACTGGTTAACTTCCATCGCCGTATATAGAGGTGTGATAAACTTTATATATATATATATATATATATATATATATATATATATATATATATATATTCAATAGATAAGTCCTGGATTTTTTCAATATATTGATTGTTTCTTTTCCGAACAGTAAATCCAATAATAAAAAACAATTTGTTTTTTGAAGATGTTTAATACGACGTTTCGGAACTAGGTACGTTCCATCATCAGGTTTATTCTGTCAAATACAATGTTTTTTAAAATACTGATTAACATTAATTAACAATGGTCAATACAGATTAATTAGAAAAAAATTTTGTTATAAAGGAATGGATTATGTACCGGATAGATAGTAATAAGACTTAACTAAAAAAGGTTTTATATAAAATTGAGAAGCAAAAATTATTTACCTGTAATAATTTATATATCCATATCACTAATATTTTTTTGTTAAAAACACTCGATTTTTTTGGAAGATATTTGTAGATGTTACGATGTGTAGTCGTAACATCTACAAATATCTTCCAAAAAAATCGAGTGTTTTTAACAAAAAAATATTAGTGATATGGATATATAAATTATTACAGGTAAATAATTTTTGCTTCTCAATTTTATATAAAACCTTTTTTAGTTAAGTCTTATTACTATCTATCCGGTACATAATCCATTCCTTTATAACAAAATTTTTTTCTAATTAATCTGTATTGACCATTGTTAATTAATGTTAATCAGTATTTTAAAAAACATTGTATTTGACAGAATAAACCTGATGATGGAACGTACCTAGTTCCGAAACGTCGTATTAAACATCTTCAAAAAACAAATTGTTTTTTATTATTGGATTTACTGTTCGGAAAAGAAACAATCAATATATATATATATATATATATATATATATTTATATATTAGGGTGGCCCTTAATATGGACATTTTCGAATTTCCTTGCTCCCAAGGGCTCAAATGGTTCCAAATTGATAAAAAACAATTCTCTGAAAGTTTTAGCTCTTAACATTAACTTTTAAATAGTGCGCAATTCAATCAAACTTTGTATGGAAAGAGCATGGAAAAAATTTTGAAAATTTAAAAAAAATGTTTTAGATATAACTTAGCGACAAATGAATGAGTTTTATTCATTCATTTGTTCGCTAAATTACACCTAAAAAATATTTTTAAAATTTTTGATAATTTTTCCATGCTATTTCCATACAAAACTTTGATTGAAACTCCCCATATATTGACCAACCCTTTATTATGACGTATTTACACTCAAAGTTTAGTTTTCATATAAATTTATTTACAAATTAGATCTTTATAAAAATACTTCCTGTATTATAGAAAACAACATAGGAAAAGATTCGCATTAGTTAAAAATGTGAAAAAAAAACAATATCTCAAACAATGTCTTGAAATATGTATTGTTAATCAAGATATATTTATACACAATTTTGCTGCTGTAATTGATTAAATTAATCCTGATTTGCTCTTTTGAAAATCACATCGATTGTTATGTTAATTTTCAACAAATATGTAGAAACAAATGAATTAAATCCATAAATAGATAATTCCTTTATATATAATGTTCATATGAGCTTTTAACAATGCAGACAATGTGAGTAGCATGCAAAATGCTCGGTGATATGTTTTCACCAGTTTGGATGCAAATGTCACAAGCGATGTTATGTTGAATAATTGCAGTAGAATGTTTGGCTTCATGTGTAATATGATATATACATACACATAATATATATACATATACATATAACAAAATATTTAAGTTATGCGAAGCAGTTCACAAAAAAATTCAAGAAGTTCCATTACATACTGATAAAATATTATATTAATCATTAATGAGATTCATTTCAGGGTTAATTATAGATATTCGGATAATCAACAAGATCTAATAGTCCGACAAAATGATAAATTTTAAATATTGTTAATTTAGAAGTAATAACATGGCCAAATTTCGATAAAAAAATTGAAATATTTTAACTAATTTAAATTAATTTTAATTAAAATATACTTAAATAAATTATATACAACGAAGACAAAGCGAAAAAGGTTATCTTTCCTAAGAAATGATATCTACTTTACTATACTTCAGAATCTATTTTCCTACTAATGATTATTTGCCGAACAAATATGCTTTGTGCTTTTTATTTAGAAATCACTTATGACGCTTTTAGATTATCTGAGTGGAAATAATCATGAGAAAATTCGCTTAGGTTACGAACGGAGGTTCAAAAATAAACGTTCTTTTATAACCTTATTATACAAGATTTTTTACCACCTGAATCTTATATGGTCCCTTTGTGTGTTATCTCAGCCAGGAAGTCATATTTCACTGATCTGAATTTAAAACAGCGTTGTAAAAAATCAGGACGAGAAAAGATAATTGACTTGAACAAGTTAATCGCATTGTCAGTCATATGTGTCTGACGCTAGGAAGTTCTACATGAGCCATATCAGACATACGCGATTTGGTAAAAGAAAAAAATGTAGGGTAGTGTGACATAAAAATCGTTATTTTCCAGGAATTTCGGCAAAAAAATTTCATCGGTACATTAAGTTACCTAGATACATTTTTAACCAAATTTTCTAATAAAGTTACCATGGTTCGTGTAATTTTTTTCTGATATCGTGGCGATAAACGTTGTATCAATATTTGCAACAATATTTGCATCAAGTTGATCAATTTTTGCAACAATATTTGCCAAAATATGCCTAAAGTTACAAATTCCAATTTGAATAAATAGTTGTAAATCAAACGAACTTTAATGAAAAGGAATTGTGTGAAGAATCCCTACAAAAATTACGTTCGTAAAAACAATTACATAATAATTGTAAGTGTCACATAACCTTGACTTCATCAAGCAATATTAATAATTATATGTTTAAATAATCTAGCTAATAGTGTTAATAAAGAAAAATATATGCAGTTAAAATATAATAAAATTCATATAAAACTTCCGCTACTATTCACCGACAGCATTAATTAAAATGATACATTTGTTTACAATTCTGAGCAATTATATAATCATTATAATTAATTCAAAATATTCCAAAATGACCTAATTTTTTCGACACGGAATCGCAAATCACCAGTGAAATCTAATACAATAAATTTTGACTATTTCACCACATCCTTTACTTCATGGCATAAATGTTTCGTGACCAGATATATTTCAAATTTCAAAATAATAGTAATAATAATTTCAAATACTGATATTAGAAAGATTGGTGTTAATTTCATATATATAAAGTGATTTCGGAACAATTTCTAAGAATTACATGAATTGAATTAAAAATAACAGGTATGAAAAAATATGAAGAAGAATGTCCAGGTAACATTAGTATAAAGGTATGACAGGTTAAAATAATTATTGTATGGTTGTACATGACTATAAATCGATGAAATAATATGACGTAATCAATGAAATAAGAATTTGCAAGAGTTTATCATTTATAAAATTAATAATAATAATATTGCAATGCGAACACAAAAATTCGTGCAAATTGAATATATGTTTAACTATCAAAATGAAACAAATAGATGCAAATTTCTAACGGTCATAAAAGCTTTTTTTTTTTATTTTATTTTTATTCTGCAATCTATAAAAATAATTATATTTAGCAGAGAATGTTGACAAGTCATAAAAGCTTGAAAATTTTTATGATGAAACTATTTGCGGAATTCGATCATGGGTGGCAATGAGATATGTTTATAAATTATTAAAATATAAAATTTAAGCAATTAGGTTTCAAAAACCCGTGGGTATAATATAAGAGTGATATAGCTGCACGAAAATGAAAAATCATTTTCCCGCGACATTATCAATAAAAATAGTATAATGTTAATAACTCACCAGAGTTTCCCGTTAATTCTCGTTATTCTCCTCCGATATATATAATGTTAATATGAGCTTTTAACAATGCAGACAACGTGAGTAGCATTATCTCAATTTGGAATTTATTGGATTCATTATAATGATTATATAATAGCTCAGAATTATAAATGCAAAATTGCAAATGAGCAACTATGTTTGGAAATATATAGCAAATATATTTTCCTTCGTTGTTAGTTTTTTGGTTGTGATCACTGTTGTTTAATTTAATCAAGAATTCAAGACCTTAATATTAGGTTGTCAAATATCTCCCTTCCGCTTTTTTGCTCTTGGTTTATAATACAAAAAGGCGGATATTTGACAACCTATTATGATTTTTAAGTATACGTTATTTAATTGATTTATAAGATGTGTTTACCTTTACAAAAGCTTACGTGTGTATAGGCTAATTATGACAAACTGGACCTTTACCATGGAAAAAGTGTAAAGCTTAATAAAGCTATTATTTAGTAAAAATTCTTTAAAAAATGACAAATTTTTGAAAATTAGTACTACAATGATTAACTATCTGAGTTGTAAGAATTTTACTGAACATAGCTAAATAGTTGTGTATAATGTTAATAACTCACCAGTGCTTCCCGTTGATTCTCCTTGTCCAATAAGAACTCCATGGATTTGTGCGGTCTAGGCGGTTCTGTGTTTTGTGCGTTCGGCTGGTTCACCAGGGATAAATTATGGTTATGGTTATGTCGATTTTGCGTTTCACCTAGATCGATTAAACTTCGCGCTTTTCCATTACACACGACTGTCTCATGGGTGTCAAGATCAGTTTCTATCAAACCCACCATACGAGCCATGGTCCTTCGTGATAAACCATGCTCGTCGTCTAAGGACGTTTCTAACCGCACTGTTGTTATCGGATCGATAACATTTCTCGGGGAATTATTGTCGTATTTATTGTGCGCCTGCTCGGTTTTGCTCCTTTTCGCGCAAACGCCGACAATTCGCGGGGGTTGGCGCGGCAAGGGCGGCTTACTAGACACTACAACCCCTTTGCTGAGTGGGGGTTCAAAGTCACGTGCGTTTTGTTGACACTCGATTTTGTCCGTAACGTCGGGACCTTTCAACGGTATGTATATATAATCACTTTCCGGCGCGGGGTTATCTTGTTTCGGAAACACTTGTTGCGTTTTGTTCATCACTTGCGAATCATTCGCTTTTGTTTGGTTAGAAATGTCATTGTTTTTCTTACGCGTAGAGAAACGGAAACTAGTAAATCGAGCGAGAAAACTTGGTTTTTTGACAGGCTTACGGAAAGCTGTTGTCATTTTCGCGGTCACTGTGTTCGCGTCCATTTTACTGCGTTTTTTACTTACACTTTTCGCATCGGACGCGGTATTGTCTATTACGGCTAGCACATGTACTACTCGCGCTGACGGTTCGTTTGTTGTGATCACTTCTTGCGGTGTTGCGGACAATGCGCTTGCACTCGGGCGCGCTCGGCCGTCCGTCGTACTGGATCGCGTCGCCTCTGAGCCGCTCACGGGCACAGGCACATCGGGCTGACGAATCAACACGAAACGAGGATCTTCCGTCACAGATTTATAATCCCGTATTGTGGGAGCCACGTGCGACTTTGTTATTATTGCAGCGGACGCGATCGAATTCAATTGTTGCTGTTGTTGTTGTTGTTGTTGTTGCTGCTGATAAATGGTCTGCGGTCGCGGCGATGGAGCGCGTTCGCGCGACTTGTTATCACATTTCGAAACATTTTGATACAACGGTTCATCTTCACTGCTATAAGATTCCGCGTAGGAATCTGATCTTTGCGTATCTTCTGAGTAGCTTCGCTCCCTCCAACTGACTTCTGAAACTATAGGACAAAAATGCACTCCTTTACCGGTACCTACAGATGTAGTCGATTGATTTTTCGATCCTAAAATTCCCTGTTTTATGGGTTCGTCTTTAATTGGCACATGCTGCATGGAAGCTCGTAATTCCTCTTTGCATACTTTCTCTTTAAATCTTTCCTCTGCAACCGCTGAATTTAGATTTGGCGTACTGACAACAAATTCTCTCTTTGCAGGTGTCGAATGAAAGAACACAGCAGAATTAGAAAATTGAGATTGTTTATCATCAGACCGGCTTGAATATGACGTGTCATCGTATGAATCCAGAGGGAATGTGCATCTCTCTAAACTTTCGGCATAACACGTTACTAAATTGGTCGGGTCGATATCAAAGGTAGCTTTTGAAGTCTTTGTTGGCATAACATAAGTACTGTTTACTTCTCGATCTGTTAAAATCGATACATTCTTATTAAAGTTTTCTGAAATTTCATCAAATATTGTTTTCCGAGCTCTAGGCGTAGCAACAGGTCGTTTGGGCGTAGACATCATTGACGTAGCAAACGAAGATACTCGTGAGCGCCGGGTTTCCGCGTAGTCCAAAGCTGTCAAATCGGCACAACTCGTAGTAAATGCATGAGTTCTCCCACTACTATTATTTACAGAATTTCTATCATTAAAATCATATAAGTCGAAATTTTTTGCTGCTATGGAATTACTAGCGCTTGTAAATAAAGACCAATCACAACTAGCGTCATCTCCGCATAGATTTAGATCCTCTGGCACACTAGACACCTTCACACAATCTTCAAAATGATATCCGCTATGTTCTTCTTCATGTATGCGTTTGTACGTATTATCGAGAAGTTGCAATCGATCTAGCTGGCGGTTGAAATCTCGCCTTCTCCAAGAACTCCTTAAAACTCGTCCCAAATTCAAATCCGCAAAAGTTCGAAGCAAACAGGGCGAACTTAAGGAAACGCCTGTGCGTTTATTTCTGGCCTTCGAAGACGTCGCGCTCTTGGCTACGGACATGCTTGTTGTCGCCGTCGTAGATTTACGCGCTCGTTCGTGAGCCGTGTCTATATTTAAAACTCGCGTCGACATGTCAGGTTCCAATGTGACATCTTCAAAACTTCTGCATCGCCTGCGGTAGCGTCCTTCTGCGCCGAACTGTCCTGCAAAATCTACAGACTGTTTTACAGCAGCATTGTAAGCGTTGAACGTGGCGACGCCGTATTTATTAAAGCAAGGGATTGATTTAGACTTCGCTAGTTTCACAAAGTTGCAAGTGCCATCGCAATATCCGGAATCTTCACTCAAGTTCTCAGCGGAGCGTTGCTGAATAACTTTTGTAACTTCGTGCAAAGGCGCCAGGCGGTCATCAGTCTTGGAATGGACTGTAGCATCAGAAAGTTCTGAATCTGAACTTTCGCTAGTCGAATCTATAATATTGTTTTGTTCTTTTTCGTGTCCAGAAGTCAACAAACCATCCGTAAGATCGATACCGCACTGCTGAATTGTTTCGCTACTTTGTTGCAGTAGCTGTCTTTCCAACGATTCAAATTGCAGCAAACTGCTGCTTCTACTGAGGGACGTGAATGAACGTGCATCCTCGTCGCTTTGGCAGCAACTTGTGTTGTTATAAACTGATTGGACTTGATCGTGTGAGGCGTAATAAGGCGGAGGTTGGTCAAACATGCAGCGGCGTCGTTTTGCAGGGCATACGAAGTCGCGTTCTGAACCACTATCATCAATTTGTTCTGTAAACAATAACAATATTTAAAAATTAGTTTAAAATGTTTTAATCAAATTTAAATTATTAACAATTATTATATATAGTCAAATATATTAAATCGATTCAATAGATATTAATAATTAATTATTTCATGATGTTTCAATCATTCATTCTCACAATCAATCCTGCGCAATTATTGTTAGTCATACAACATAGTATATTAAAGTTTATATATCGCTGATTTGAAGGATTCAAATATATTTGACTTCTATTCGCATTATGTGAAGGAAGTTCTTATTTGACGAACAGCAGGTTTCAAATTGATCAGTTAATAATAAATTCAATTCTAAGTTCTGATTTGAAGAAATATACAATGATTATGAGCTTTCAATCATGAATTTCATTTGACTATTGCTTATCATATTATAATACAAATATATGCCAAAATTTTGTCAATATGTTATAACTATACGCTATATTGCAAAAATAGTAAAATGATTAATATTATTTATGGATGTAATATTTTATAACAAAAATTGCACGCCGCTGATGTTAGTGTATTACATATATCGCTAATTGAACTGAATGTAATTATAGACAGAATAATTTAATTTCAAGGATGCTCTACTATAACTAAGAAAGTCGTAGCATATTTAAGATAATATGAAATGTTATTTTAATTGCTAAAATTATGGAAAGATCTAACTAATAACATTTATATAAATTTATATATTGATATAAATTTTAATATAACTGTGAAAAAAATGTAAAATATGCTGATTTATTATCCAGTATTTATTAATATATATATGCAAGGCTTTATGCCCAATTGATTTGATTTAATGATGTTTCATTCAATGTCTACATTAAAATTGCACAATAAAATCACAATGACTCATTTAGCTGATTAAACTGATCTGTGGTCATAGGTGAATATATTTACATACAAAGTTGATTATATAAAAGTATGAGATCATACGGACTGGCATTTTAATTTTACACAATTAAATGAATGTTCTTATCGATTATTAAGAAAAGAAATTATTTCAGTCTGCATAGTTGTAGTTTTTGACCTATTAATTATGAATAATAAATATTTTATTTAACGTTCTTTAACGTTAACGTCAATATTATGTTTGCAAAATAGTTAAATAAAGCAGACAAGGCGAAAGAGATTTATGCATTTGTGTATTAGATATAATGCATTAGCAATATGTTTACAATGTAACATGCATTAATATACTTTGCTTACATATAAACTCCAAAATCATTCATCAATGTATGAAAATAGATTGCTATTCAGGCATATATTCATATAAGTATTTATAATCGTTCCTACATAAATCAATCAATCAATCTACACAAATCCTCCAAATTAATTAGTTAGTTTCAATGTTTAAAACTTCTTACGTAAATATATGAGTAACAGCAATAGTTTTCTAGCAAACCAAGACTAAAATAATAAATCAATTTTCTCAATTTAACAATATTAATAATTATTATTACCATTGAAATAAATAGAATTATACTAGTTTGTCTCCACGATATTTAAAAAATATTTAAGTAGAGTAGGTAAGTTTTATTACCATCAAGTGTAAGGCTGGTATCACCTTCAGGTTCAATATGTATAACACTCTGGGCATCAGAAGCAGATGAACCACCCCAACCGCCCCAATCGGAGTGATTGCCATCGTTTCCTGGTGAACCGGAGGACGAGCAACTTTCTTCTTCATCTTCACCAGAACTGCAGTCGTCGGAGCAGGAGTCGCTCTCTTCACATTCGTCTTCTTCTTCAAGTATTGTCTCTAAAAGGGCACATTGCGGAGGCAGAAAAAGACCGCCATCTGGAAAACGAAAATCAAACAATATAATAAATATAATAAATATTTTAATGCAATTTTATAAGATATTTGAGAAAAATATTATGAGATAAAATAAATTAAAAATGAATCAATCAATATTTTCTATGCATAATCATCTTAAGTTTTTGTATTGCAGCATTTTCATAAAAAATGAAATGGTTTTATTTAAATAATATTCAAAAATTATTAAGTATATTAATAAAGATTATTAAGCAATAAACTAAATGGCAACTCAAATCAGATTTTATAAAATAGTTCTATTCATTTCTTTTAGAGTAGAACGAGGCTTAGAGTAAAAAAAAGGTCACCAACAATATCCAAAACCATTAGAATTAGGAATTTTTTCAACTATAATACTTGAAAGTAAAGAGCAAAATGTGTGAAACAAGCCATCGCCTTAATTCAAGCAACGTTGCATTCAGGATTAAAAAAACATTTTTAGCCATGTTTGAAAATCTATAACCAAAGTATTTTCTTTCGTTGTTAGCTTTTTTGGTTGTGAGCACTGTTGTTAAGTTTACAAGACTTTAATATAATGTTTAGGTATATGTCGTTTAATTGGTTTATAAGATGTATTGTAATTTTTAAGTTAGAATCAACAGGCGTTTTTATATAACCTCTATAAAAGCTTAAATTTGTGTGGGGTAAAATGGTCCAACTAAACTTTATCCCTGGGACAAGTAAATTAAGTTAAAATAAAAGTCATTTACAAGAGATCAATTCTGCTGAGAAATATTTCTGAAGAAATACGAGATCAAGGTGTTATGTTTGCAAAAAATATTCCAATTAAATTTATAATTTGATTTTGATGAATATGATGAATAATTTTGATGATTTGATGAATAATTTAGCTATTATTTCGTAAAATTCCTTTGAAATTGAAAATAAATCATTGGATCTGTTTGCCCGCTGACTGCCCTTACACACTTATGAGGTAAAAAGGAACACATAACAAATTTTAGAAAATTACTAAAAAAACACATTTTATAATTATGCATTAACTGGATTTTCTGACATAGTTCGATAGTTCGATAGTTAATTGTTTGACACATGTTATGTATTGTGATATGGTTAATTTGCTTTAGACAGTATAATCATAGATAAACAAGTATAATTGCTTAAAGTCAAAATATACCTTAGTGCCTCGCCCTATCTTGTATTTCAATGTAAACTTGCTAATGGCACAAAAATCCTCGAACTTAAATGCAAAACGATGAGTATAGTATGAATATGAAAATTAAAATATTCCCAATTAATTTATAATTATTGTTGAAATAAATAAAACCATGGATTGAATGGAACAAATAAAACAATACCTGTTTGTCCCATGATTTTTACAAACTATTGCTTTAGATTATATAAATGTTAGAATAAATTCAATTCAAACTGGTAAACAAATTCAATTTATCTTGGTTAAGTAAAATTAATTGTCTAAAGAATCCATTAGTGGAGACGTAAACTCTTTGAAGAACTTCTTTGATGTTTAATTAGAACCGAAAGGCGAAGCGATGGCAAGGACTTGAGAATAAATAACGTAGTTTATACTTCCATGTGTTACAAAATATAATTAATTTTTATCTTAGTTATTATATGTTTACATGCATTATGCTTACAAAATATCAACTAGTTTGCTAGTTATATATTTGCACATAAAGAAATGTAAATAATAGAAAGATGTAATACTAAGTTACTATATAGAGTCAATGTGTTTTACTATATCTATGTGAAATAGGTAAATCCATCTACCTAGCTAGCCGTTTGCAATTTATTAAATCTTTAGTGCATATCAAATTGTATTAGATTTAGAATTATGCATTTAGAACGACTTCCGCATAGTTCGAAATGGGACAGGTCACTGACCATTTTGCATAGAATGATATATGTAGACATATCATCATTAGGAGTATAAAAAATTCAGGTACATATGCATTAATAATAATAATAATAATAATAATAATAATTTTAATTGAGGAGTGAATTGTTTCAATATTAATTATTATTATGTTAAGAACACCACACAAAAATTCAAAAAAAAAAATTGGCCAAGGTATTCATATTGGGGTAGTCATATACTTACGTTTAAAATAGTTTTTGAAAATTTTGAACATTTGTACAGAAAATATAAATATAAAGTTACTGCATTTAGATAAACACAAACGCGTGAGATAATAACGAAAAGCATTGAAAACTAATTTTAAATTTTGTCCAGGTTGAAAGTTAAGCATACAATTCTCGTAGAGCCATCTGCGATGGCTGGAAAGTAGAATCTAGCAAAGACTCAACTCCGGTGGGTTGAATATGCATCCATTTCTCTACAAATAATAAAGTTTGTTGTCTTATCTAATGTTGATAGTTTTGAAATAAATTAAAAACCTGGTGTGATAAATTATGCTATGTTCTTTGACTATATTAAAAATTGGTATTATTATAAAACTGGCATATGTTAAAATATTAAATTGATACAAGCTGCTGTACGCTTATAGCATTTTGTACCTAAAATACTTTGTACAAGATCGATATAAATTAAACATAGCGCCCATAGCGCCCATAGCACAATCATAAAAATAACTAATTTCCAATTTTATAGAGAGTTAAAATTTAATATTTAAAATATGACAATAAATATACTGAATATAATAGAATGTTTGATAGAGGAATAGGTTTGACTAAAAGGTTAATATTTAGTTCATTGTGTATTATAGAGAAATTAGTATAATGTAACAATTAAGTAATAAAATCTTTTGACTCTATATATTTATATGACTCAATGTTTGATTATTTATATGACTATTGTTAATTGAAAATAATATAATAAATTTGCAAATATATTGACAAACAGGTTTCTGTTCTTTGTACTGTTTCGCCTTTTAAATATAGATTTAAAACGATATTTTTATTACGACTGTTGTTTAGCGATTTCAATTCGCGACCAAGAGTTGATATGAATTATACCAAGCAGGCGCATTTGTTCTCATATATCATAAAGAAATGTTCATACATGGTAGCTCTCATATCAAAATATTGAACTAATCATCTGTGGCCAGCCGCATTTTTTTAATGGAGCCCTTTGTGAAGGGGCCACACCAGTAAAAATTGTTACATTGCACTTGGCTTAATTTAAACAGTTTCCAATTGTTGTCTACGGAATCAATGTAAAAAGTAGCGTAATCAGCAAAAAGTAGAATTAAAAATGTATCTGAGTCTGCACTCTGCAGCCTTTTGAGCCAGGGTTTTCTTGTATGAGTGGCATGTAACTTTTTGCTATCCCTGCCACCCTATAGTTACGCCACTGCTCATTATATAATATTCTTTCCATAAGATTTGCATTAAATAGTTTATTAAAAAAGTTTGAAAATTAAGTTAGATGTAAAAGTAACTATTTGATGCATTGCTTAGTTTAAATACTTAGGTGCATCCTTCTATGTTCTCTGATTTATTCTTGATCTAAGATGGTTTTTAGTGTTAAATAATAAATAAAGTTTTTATTATATTAATTTTAATATTAATTAACGAATTAAGAACGAAAGGTGTCAGGTCGAACATATGTAATGCATATTCAGAATTCACTATACCTTCCCCAGTGGAACAAAATTCTATGCAACGGACATGTCAATTATTCGAAGAATGTTTCTGAAAGTTCAAAGAATTGAATCATTAAATGTCAGACGGGGAAAAAGTCATCGTTTATTTTCTGAAAAAGGTCAACCGTTGAAGAATTTTGCTCGGTGAATTAATTGAAGAATAGATCTTTGTATGTTATTATTGTTCAGAACACCCGAAGAGATTTAATCAATATGAGAAAATCTCGAGTTGCTGAAGACGGACGACGAGTGAAAGTAGTTAGTTAATGAGATTTGTATTAAAAATACTGTTAAATATTTTAATAAAACTGAATAAAATTTAAGGTTCAATACCGAATGTGCATATTTTTTCCAGTTATTTATCCTAAAACTATTACGGTGGTAACAAATAAATAAACAAAATATATAAATCTTATGTGAAAGCATATTAATCTTTTGTTATCTCCATGCTGTCTAAGCCACTGGTTGGTACGAATGGAAAAACTCATAATGATCAATAATATAAAAAACCGAACAGTTGTTGAATTGAATAATTAATTGCATGGTAAAATACCGAAGCATAAAATTTAATGAGGCTACGACCGATAACTATTAAATTGTTTAAAGCCACTAATACAAATTAATATCTTGTTCTACGTTGTATCTATTAACTTAAAACGGTATTGTGAACTGGTACCTTCCTGTGATTGTGAGAGGTGTAAGATCAGAGGCTGTGAACCTTCATGAAAACAAAATTGATTTAGCCTTATTATTAATGATTTAAAAGCTGTTTTGAAAACTTGCATTTTGATATTTATCTAAGATAAAGACGTCAAATTATATTCTAGGGGCTCGCCCGTAGGTAAGCGGTTAAGAGCGACGGGACTTGTGTCAGAGGTCCCGGGTTCGATACACACTTCGAGCAGCCTGTTGTCAGGCTGCAGTGACAACGATTTTCACTTGGAAATATAGATAGCAATATGTTTCCAAATGAAAATAGCCCTTGCCCGGCATTGCTGCACCAATAAAAAGTCAGCCCTATTAGATTAATTCTAATAACAAAATCATCAAATATGGATGGATTAACCATTGGGTTACCATCTAGAAAATATGAAGTATGAAGAAGTTTCAGCCGAACAGCTCATAGGACGTAAGGTAAAAAAAAAAATTATATTCTGATATAAAGTCCTCAAATTGTTTAACCACTATTATTTTCTTATTATCGAAAAATATACGAACAGATTCACAAATATTAAAGAATATTTGCGATATCAATTTAACGAACAAAACAGTATAATCGCATTTTTATTTCACGATCTCATGAATCACATAAATGATATTAATTAATTTTTTTTAGTCCACAATGACTCGTACAAATGATTACAGATTATAAACTATGTGTAGTATGCATATCTGGAATTG